GGGGGGATGGGATGAGTGGCAGTGCAGGCTGGGGGGGGGATGGGATGAGTGGCAGTGCAGGCGGGGGGGGGGATGGGATGAGTGGCAGTGCAGGCGGGGGTGGATGGGATGAGTGGCAGTGCAGGCGAGGGGGCATGGGATGAGTGGCAGTGCAGGCGGGGCGGCGGCATGGGATGAGTGGCAGTGCAGGAGGGGGAGGATGGGATGAGTGGCAGTGCAGGCGGGGGGGGATGGGATGAGTGGCAGGGCAGGGGGGGGATGGGATGAGTGGCAGTGCAGGCGGGGGGATGGGATGAGTGGCAGTGCAGGCGGGGGGATGGGATGTGTGGCAGTGCAGGCGGGGGGATGGGATGAGTGGCAGTGCAGGCGGGGGGATGGGATGAGTGGCAGTGCAGGCGGGGGGATGGGATGAGTGGCAGTGCAGGCGGGGGGATGGGATGAGTGGCAGTGCAGGCGGGGGGATGGGATGAGTGGCAGTGCAGGTGGGGAGGTGTCATGAGTGGTAGTGCTGGGGGGGGTCAGGTGGGATCAGATGAGTGGCAGTGCAGGCGGAGGTGGATGGAATGAGTGGCAGTGCAGGTGGGGGGGATGGGATGAGCGGCAGTGCAGGTGGGGGGGATGGGATGAGCGGCAGTGCAGGCAGGGGGGGGGGGGGGGGTGGGATGTGCGGCAGTGCAGGCGGGGGGATGGGATGAGTGGCAGTGCAGGTGGGGGGGGGGGGGGATGAGTGGCAGTGCAGGTGGGGGGGGATGGGATAAGTGGCAGTGCAGGCAGGGGGGGGGGGGGGGGATGGGATAAGTGGCAGTGCAGGCAGGGGGGGGGGGGGATGGGATGAGTGGCAGTGCAGGAGGGGGGGGGGGGATGGGATAAGTAGCAGTGCAGGCGCGGAGGTGTCATGAGTGGTAGTGCTGAGGAGGGGGGGAGGGGGGGTCGGATAGGATCAGCTGAGTGGCAGTGCAGGCGGGGGGGGTGGATGGGGTGAGTGGCAGTGCAGGTGGGGGGGATGGGATGAGTAGCAGTGCAGGTGGGGGGGGGGATGGGATGAGTAGCAGTGCTGGCAGGGAGGATGGGATGAGTAGCAGTGCAGGCGGGGGGGGATGGGATGAGTAGCAGTGCAGGTGGGGGGGATGGGATGAGTAGCAGTGCAGGTGGGGGGGATGGGATGAGTAGCAGTGCAGGTGGGGGGGATGGGATGAGTAGCAGTGCAGGTGGGGGGGATGGGATGAGTAGCAGTGCAGGTGGGGGGGATGGGATGAGTAGCAGTGCAGGTGGGGGGTGTCATAAATGGTAGTGCTGGGGGGTCGGGTGGGATCAGATGAGTAGCAGTGCTGATGGGGGGATGGGATGAGTGGCAGTGATGGTGGGTAGTTGGGATGGGTTGAGTGGCAGTGCTGGTGGGGGATGGGATGAGTGGCAGTGCTGGTGGGGGGATGGGATGAGTGGCAGTGCTGGTGGGGGGATGGGATGAGGTGCAACGGTGGTGAGGGGGATTGGGTTGAGTCAGTGGCAGTGCTGGGTGGAGAAGGGATCAGTCATCACTGGCAGTCACTTTCTCTCCAGGGTCCGGCTCCATCCAGGTGTCTGTGGCAGCACAGCAATGACACCTATCCCAAGATCAGGAGATGGGGGTCTGCTCAAAGTGGAAACCTCCTCCAGCTCCTCCCCCTTCACGGGTCAGCTGACCGCTAGTTTCTGCCCCCCAGCTCCAAGAGACACGGAGAGGATAGATGAGCACAGCAGGCACAAGGTGCAGCTGCTTTGGCCCCACCAGCTCTTGTTAGGACATGCAGCCCCAGCCCACTGTGAAAATGCCCAGCGTGCCCTATGGCCACTTTAATTCAGGCCTGGCCTAAAGTCTGTGCTGTGTCATTTCCCCGTTTTCACTTAACAATTGTTTGCAGGCTTCCAAAGCAAGGTTGAAGCTCACTGGTGGCTGGGAGAAACCGCTTAGTCCTGGCTTTCCATATGTAAATGTCAGCAAGAATCCGCTTACAAGCAAGAACATTCAAGAATCACCAGATTACCCACAAAAAAAGAGTGGGGGGGGGGGGGGGGGGGGGGGCCTGGAGCCATACAGCAATGCAGAGGTAAAAGAAATGTGGAGCACCGAGAAGATAGGAGATGCTCAAGATATGCATATCAAGGTTTACTTTTCAATTTTAAGGCCTCTTTCACACTGGTGCACCTTTGCCGCGTTTTTCCAGGACGACAGAAGTGCATGAAAACTGTTCCTCGTTAAATCCTATGTAACTGTTCACACTTCAGGTGCCCAGCACTTTGAAGAGTCCTGCATGCTTGGTGCATTTTTTCAAAAGTGCACCAAAAAGGCACCTTCCACTGTAAGTCAACAGGAGCACATCAAAAGCATATCAGTGTGAAAGGGCCCTTAAGCTGACAAAAGAGCATCCATGTGAAAGGGCCCAAAGGTAAACAGATTTCCTTTGGGATCTCCAGTTTCATTTCATATCCTAAAACATACTAACAGTTTCTAAATTTCCAAATCCACCATGGCCAGTCCCAAGTCCATCCTGAGAAACGAAGAGGATGTACAAAGCCTTAGGGTTGGGTTTGCTTATCTCAAAAGCTCTGGACCAGACAGTGGTCACTACCACTGCTTCTCCTTTAGATTTAAGACAGGGCTATGAAGCTACGGGGAGGTAGAGATCTACTTGAGCACACAAACAAAAAAAAATTCAAAGATAACCAGGAAGCAGTGTGGGGTTTTTTTTAGTAGTAAGTAATGCAGAGTGCAGGAGTCTGTAGTAAGTAGGGCAAAATTCAGTTTTAAGTACAACAGAGTTCAGTAATAAACAAGACAGAGAAAGGGTCAGAAGTAAGTAACAGAGTGCAGGGGTCAGTAGTAAGTTACATAGAGTACAGGGATCAGAAGTAACACCAAGCTCAGGTGTCAGGAATAAATAGCCCAGAGTTTTAGATCAGTATTATGTAAATCAGAGTGCAGGGGTGAGTATTATGTAACACGGGGTGCAGAGAATAGGAGTAAGTAATGTAGAGTTCAGGGGTCTGTAGTAAGGAGTTCAGAGGACAGTAGTAAGTAACACAAAGTTCAGCAGTAAGTAATGCACCATTTAAGGGTCAGGAGTAACACAGATTTCAGAGGTCAATATTAAGTAATGCAGAGTGCAGGGGTCTTTTGTAAGTAGGGTGGCTTTCAGAGGTCAGTAGTAAGCAGCACCGAGCTCAGTAGTAGATAATGCACAGTGCATGGGTCAGGAGTAACACAGAGTTCAGTGGTCGGTAGTAAGTAATGCAGAGTGCAGGGGTAACATACAATTGGGATCAGGAGGAAACAGTGCCGAGTTCAGATGTCAGTATTAGGTAAAGCAGAGTAGAGGGTCAGGAGTAAGTAACACAAAGCGGTACAGGTAGCAGCATGCCCTTCTGTCCACCTATGTCATACACTGAGTGGAGAGCTGCTGGTGTGGCTTTTGGGGCACAGGGGCCTCACACACTCATCACCCCAAAATACTCACTTGTACCCCAGGGCCAAGGACACAGCGCACCACCGATTGGCGCGCACGCACGGTTAGAGTGGGAGGATGTCATATGACGTCCTCCCAGAACGAGAGAACCGCCGCACTCCCATCATTTCCTTATATGGCAGGCGGGAGGTGGTTAATGAGAAGCAATCCTGAATGGGCTTACACAAGCACTGGGGTTTTCAGTCTTCAATTTACATAACTGTGAAACCTTCCCCGTATATTTACACTTTATTCATCACACATTAAAGTGTTAGTAAAGTCCCTTCTATTCACTTGTACCTACGGGTAAGCTTACAGTCCGGTTTATCTGTAGTTACAATGAATATCTAATAAATGTGCACTGTTTAGGAGATATTCACATCAGCTATAGTGATGTCACCCGCGCATGTGCAGGGACGCTCTGCATTCAGGGAACACAGTATGCACATGAAAGCAGAGCACCGGGCCGCGGCCAGGGCTCCTGTGTGCACGCGCAGGAGTGACGTCATTGTGGCCCCGGCCATTGAAACGGCCAGAGCCTTACAACCCAGAATGAAGACCAGGTGAAGATGGAAAGTGCCGGGGGATCAGTGACAGCGATGTGCTCTATGACTACATGTGCAGACAAGTGTGTCATAATGTGCTAGTATGTGGTACACATTATGTCTTAGACCTGCAGGGGACCCCCTTTTCTTTTTCTTTTTTTTTTTAAAGTGGTTCTAAAGCTAAAGAGTTTTTTTACTTTATTGCATTCTCTGTATTAAGGTTAAAAACCTTCTATGTGCAGCTCCCCCCCATGTACTTACCTGAGCTGGATCTCAATCCAGTGCTGTGCACGAGAGCAGTATCGCCCTCCTCACTGGACAAAGAGGCAGCAGTGGGAGCCATTGGTTCCTGCTGCTGTCAATCACAGCCAGTGAGGAGGGGGCAGGGTCCAGCTGCACTCTGTGTGTCTATGGACCCACAGAGCTGGCTATGGAGCGAGAATGAATGAGTGCCCCAGAGCAAGCGGCTTGCTACGGGGTACTCAGCGGGGGGGGGGGGGAGTCAGGAGCACCGGTGGGGGACCCAAGAAGAGGATCGGGGACGCTCTGTGTAAAACCAGGTAAGTATGTGTTTGCTATTTTAAAGAATATGATCCTTTACCTAAACTGAGAGCACTCAGAGTTCATGTATCTCCTGTGTACATAAAGCCTCACATTCACTCTATGATCATGAGATCACAAGCTGCTATGCACACTCAGGGGCTGGTAGACATCAGGAGAGGTAAGGCAGTGGAGGGACAGTCACTGATATTATGTGATCTCTAGCTAAATTCAGAGAGGAGATTATTCAACTTCATTGAACTCACACACAATTCTAATCATGAGAGCCTGAATATTCCCATTCTGGAGCTTTCTATAGAATATTACAGGGACAGGTCTGTATCTAACCTGAGCTCTGTGTGATCAGTCCTACGACAAATGTCCCTAACTACACACCTGCCCATCATAGGAGAAGGGGACAGATCACTGTTACCTGCTATCTGCGACACAAAGGCATCGGTAACCAGAGTCATGACTGTCTGCAATCCCTCCGCTCCACATGCAAGGTTAAGGTCACAAAAACAGGAAGTGTGTGTGCTGGTGACAGGCCGGCCGGGGAATACTTCCGCCCGTATCCGTGGTAACGAGAACACGAACAGCTACATGGGTGCTTCATGTCAATAAAGATAATTGAAAAAAAAAAGGGTTTTAGAAGCTGTTCTTCCCAGCTCAGAATTTTACGAGTCAGGTGATAGGAAACGTACACGTAGGGAGAGCAGGGTCGCCATCTTTGTTTATGGCAAAAGGATTTGTTTAATATGAAATTATAGATTGACAACAACTAGCAAGGATTTATTTGTTGGAATAAAGTATTCCCGGATTGAAGAAGATACAATTACTGAGAATCATTTAAAAAAATATTTGTGGGGCAGGGCACCGGATTCCTGTGCAAATTACATGCAAATGTCTGTGTGGTTTGATTTGAGCCATACATTTTATATGGTCAAATTGTATCGCATCCGCATCAGAAAGGTGCAGGACCCTTTTTTAAATCTGCCCTGAATAGAGTTGCCACCTCATCCCTTTAAAACCGAACACATATTGATTACACAGGTTCTGAGGCAGATTTAACCACTTGCCCTCCTGAGGATTTACCCCCCTTCCTGACCAGGCCATTTTTTGCGTTATGGCGCTGCGTTATTTTGACTGGCAATTGCGCGGTCATGCAATGTTGCACCCAAATGAAATTTATGTCCTTTTTTCCCATGAATTGAGCTTTCTTTCAGTGGTATTTGATCGCCTGTGTGGTTTTTATTTCTTGCGCTAAAAAAAAAAAGAAAAAAAAAAAAGAAAATAACAATATTTTTTACTTTTTGCTATTAAACATGTTCAGTAAAAAAAAATTAAAAATCAAATTTCGTCATAAATTTAGACTAAAATGTATTCTGCTACGTGTCTTTGCTAAAAAAAAATCCCAATACATGTAAATTAATTGGTTTATGTGAAAGTTATAGAGTTTACAAATGGTGGCATACATACTGGGATTTTTTTTTTTTTTTTTTATTTTGACTAGTAATGGCGGCGATCAGCGACTTATAGCGGGACTGCGGCGGAGATTCTGACACTGGGGGGAACTGACTTGGTATCACTGACATCCCCAGTGATACTTATACAATGATCAGTGCTAATAAAAAGCACTGACACTGTAATAATGGCACTGGGCAGGAAGGGGTTAACATGAGGGGCGATCAAAGGGTTAACTGTGTGCTGTTTTACTGGGGCTGTGTCTGTGTGCTTCACTGTAAGCATACTGCTGTGCATGGCTGTGTTGAGCACAGCCATCCAAAGCAGTGTGCACGAGCTGACAGGGAGGAGAACTGTTCATTTCCGGGTAGGGGGCGTGCACCCTACACGCGCCGCCATTCATGGACGTGGCTGTCAATCACTGGGTCCCAGCCAGTAATTACTCACCCGGTCATTTATGAAGATCTCTGATGGGGAGGAGGACTGTTTTGTTTACTAACAGTCCTCCTCCCTGTCAGCTTGGGCACACTGCTCTGGATGACGGTGCACAGCACAGCCATCCAAAGCAGTGTGATTATAGTGAAGCACACAGACACCGCCCCCTAGTAAAACACTACCTGCACACAGTTAACCCTTTGATCACCCCTCATGTTAATTACCACCTTAATCAGCCACAGAACCTGTGTAATTAATGTGTTTGGTTTTAAAAGCATGAGGCGGCAACGCTACACCTGAATTGCAGTGCATGAGTGTTATCAATGCATATGTGCTATGAAGACCCTCATACCTATGAAAGGCAATCAAAACAAATAAATAAAAATAATACTGTGGATATTTCACTATCACATGTATAGATAGGAAAACTCTGTAATCTGATCAAATCAACAAAACAGTGACATATTGTCCATGTAAACATATAATAAAGTCCATAGAAGGAAAAAGACTCCACAATCAGTGATAATGCTGTAAATCGATGTTGTAGGTGCCGTATGGGTAGTCTTCCTTCAGATATTCACCAAGGTGTGTACCACCACCAAATAATTAAATGGAGGTTTACCAGACAGAGTCCCCTTAATTATAGGGGGTCTCAACCAGCATTGCAATGTGAGATATTAGCAGGTTCTTCATGCCATACCCAGAACAGGGATCTTCCAAACCTCCAAACCCAAATGTGAACTCGAAAAAACGGTGCCAAAAAAGGTCATGAAAGAAAGAACATGCCTCTCTTAGTGTAATACATATCAAACTCCTTTATTTGCGCAAATAAAATCCTACTTACAAGCTGTAGAACACTTAAAAGCATTCAAAAAGACAGCTTCCAAGATGGATGACAGTGCGATGACGTCAGAGGGGGCTACCTAGAATACGTCTTTTGATGATGAAACGTGTCGGGCGGAGCCTCCCTCTGATGTCATCGTGCTGTCGGCCATCCGGGAAGCGGTCTTTTTGAATGCTTTTAATTGTTCTACAGCTTGTAAGTAGGAGTTTACTTGCACATTCTCTTACAATGCACTCTAAACCAGTTATCCTATTCTTATCTATACTACAGTTATTGTTTATACACACAGTTCAGTCACTGACTTTGCTGATTTATGAGTGGATTTTAGTCTAGGGGTACACAGCTCTATTCTACGTTACTTTGGTATAGTGATTATAATGTCTAGCAGACTGTGTCTGAATTTACCCTCTATTTGCTTGTTTATGCTTGTACCACCATTTACTCTAACCTGTACCAATACATTGAGTTCATTTACCACTAAACGGTATTGTGTCTATTTCCTGGTACTAATTTACAGCCGAGTTAAAGGTATCTATACTTGTGCTATTATAAGTGCTTGCAGCGATTTTCATTCAGCCCGGTGTCTCAGGGGGGTTGAGGTTATTCACTAAGATATGACAAACAATCAAGAGCCCGGTCAACCAAGGGGCTTCTGCGGGGGTAGTGCTACCCATGTTTAAGGATGGCCTAAGACAACTTAGCCACTGTCAGGGAAGATCGTTGCTGTGCACGAATCTGCGCATGCGCAGGATCTTTACAAGGCATACAGGCAGGCGGGCACTAGGACCCTGGCGCGCCTGTCGGCGCATTTAAACGGGCCACTGCAGGATCCAAATTGCCGTATGGTCTTATTTCTTTGCCTGTGATTCCTGACTCTGAGTTGTTTCTTGGTGCCAAACCCAGCCTGCTCCTGACTACCGTTTGACCTTCTCCTGCCCTGACCCCTGGCTTTTCTCTGGATATTCTTCTGCCTGCTCCTGATCATTCTGACCTCCTGTTGCTGAACCTGGCCTGTGACCCGACTATCCTTCTGCCTGCTGCTCTGGTCTGCTCTGCCTCTTAACGTCAGGCTCACTACTAAAGTATGTGACACTAGCGGTCTCCTCTACCACAGCTGGGCATACCTGGGGGCCGCGACCTGGTCTCAGCCTGCTCCAAGTCCATCCCCACCATCAGGGGCTCTGGTGAACAAGCAGACTGGGGCTTAGACCCCGCGCCCTGTGGAACCCCAACCTGTGGACCTATAGAGCTACCGTTAGAGTCATGACAGCCACCCTATAGGTTCCAATGTTGTTAGAAGAAGGTCTTTTTTTGTCAAATAATAGGTGCAGGTATAATAAATAAAATGTCCAGTCATTCCACCCCACCATTCACTCCCAGTACTGCCCCTTTTATAGAAAACAGAACCAAGTATCATTTTGTATTGTTAAGTAATTTGCATGGAATTTGTTAATGATACCAAGAAAAGCAGATCCTCTGCAGTCTACAACAATAGCCCCCCCCGCCACCACCAACAATAGATCTCCCCAGCAACAATTGATCCTCCACCAGCAACAGTAGATTGCCCCAGCAACAACGGACCTTCTGCAATAAAACACCCCCCCCAGCAACAACAGATCAACCCCAAGGAACAATAGATCCCCGTCAGCAACAATAGATCTTCTACTAGACAGCATTATTAGACCTTCCAGTATCTAGAAACAAGAAACCCCTCCCTCAACAGTAGATACCTCCAAGCAACATTACCCTCTCCTGCAACAAAGGTCCCCTCCTTCAACAATAGATCCCCTCCAGTGACAATAGATCCCCCAGGAGCCAGCATCAATGGGCCCTCCAGCACATTCCAGCACCTATTGCCATTACATACATTCAGTGCTGGAGGCGCCGGAATTGTGTTTCCCCCACATTCTGGCTGAAAAAAAGCCCTGATTAGGAGGATCTTAGACTACATTTAAACCAGCAATGTAGGCCAGTGCAAATTGCAGCAGCAGGAATCTGCTGATTCCTGCTGTTGTTCTAAGTAAATAGGTGCAGCCACCAGCCCCATTCACGATAATGACAGGTCACCGGCAGCCACAACTATTCACAGCTCTCTGCACAGCCAGCTATTACCTGCAGTGAACGCTGTTTGGTGTACTTTGTGTGCTTCCAGTGGTGATCACCGCAAGTAATTGCTGGCTGGCGACCTGTCACTATATTGAGCAGGGCTGGTGGCAGTACCTAGCCGCTCACAGCAGCAGCAGGAATCAGAAGATTCCTGCCACTGCAATTCACACCAGCCTCACACGATGGTGTGTATGTAGTCTCATATGTGTGTTTTTTTTAGTTCAGAAACAAGGGAACTGAGGCTAAAGCTAAACATCAATTGATCAGGTATGTGAATTATGCTTCTTCATTTTATTTATTGGTACACAGGTTTAATAACATTTTAAGGTTTCATTTTCTGTTTTGGCTGAATTGTCCCAATAAATATTGTTGAGAATCAGTTACAGAGATTTTGGGCAAACCCTGAGCACTTCAACTGAGCATATAATGAATAAAAATATATAATTACAGGTTATCTCAGTTATTGGAAACTGCGTTGAAAAAGGTTTTGTAGCTTCATCACCCAAAGATGCTGAAGTTACCTAAAAATCTTGACTTTTGTGGTACCATTTCAGAGTGGCCCTACCCATTCCACCTACCCTTTGGTCCTCTAATGCATTGTTTCTCAACCTTTTTCAGTCAAGATACCCTTTGAAATTATATACAATCTCAAGGCACCCCATCCTAACATGTAAAAACTATTCTAATAGTTTTACATAATG